CCATCCCACCCTGCATCCCACCCTGCATCCTGCAGCATCCCACCCTGCATCCCCTCATCCCACCCTGCATCCTGCACCCCACCCTGCCCTGCATTCCACATCCCACCATGCATCCCACATCCCACCCTGCCCTGCATCATCCCACCCTGCATCCTGCATCCCGCATCCCACCCTGCCCTGCATCATCCCACCCTACATCCCGCCCTGCCCTCCTGCATCCCACCCTGCATCCCACCCACCAGCTGCAGGCCCGCGCTGTGAACCCCTGCCTGCTCTCCCCGCTGCCTCTCGCCCTGGCAGGGCTGGGTGCTGAGGATTTGGGGCTGTTTCTGGTCCCCTCTGGGGCCATCCCATGGGGGCACTGCTGTAGCTCTGGGTTTGGTCCCTGGTGGGGCTGTGCTGTGGCCCTGCCATCAGCATCATGGGGTGCTGCCCGCTGATGGCATGGGACAGACAGCATCCGTGTTCACGTGGGGAACAGTGATGCTCGGCCCCGACACAGCCACCTTCACTTTTTCTCTCTGAGATGAGAACTCCTCCTGTCTGATCGATCTGAATCACGGCGGGGCCGCCAGGGAGAGCGATGCTGGCGGCGCAGCTCCGGAGCAGCTGTGGCTGGAGCTGGGGAATGCCCCGATATCTCCCCTCCACCCTTTGCTCATCTCTGAAACCCTCTGGAAGCATTTGCAAGCGCTGGAGCTGGGCCGGATCCGCTGCTTCACACGCATGGGGGATGGGTTTGCGGCTGGGGGAAGGATCAGGGCCGTTTGCTCTGTTTGCACCTGCTTCCTCCCTCCTTTTCTGCACTTTATTACGGGCAGTTTTACCTGGGTTGGGCTCAAGAGCTGCCCCAGGATGGGGAGCTGTGCTCCCGCAGGAACCAGCCCTGCAGCTGGGCTGGGGAAGCCTCCAGGACCTGTAACCCCTGCCCAGCAGCTCTCGGGGACGGAGGGCTTGACCTAAACCACCCCAGCCCTAGTGCAGCCGCCCGGAGCAGCCGGTGGCTCTGTAAAGCGGGGCAGTGGCAGCAGCTCATCGCACCCCGATGTGCGGGGCTGTGCCCCATGCCCAGGGGCAGCCGGGGCCAAGCGCTGACCCCGCACCCGGTGGGTGCCCAGCATGGCTGCCAAAGGCTGAACGCCCACCCTGGGATGCAGATCCTGGTCTGACTTTGCCCCCCATCTCCCTGCCCCAGGCAGGGCTGCGGGGTGGCCAGCGCTCAGCACCGTTTGCTGAGGTCCATCCCAGCCCTGGCCGCTGAGCCAGCGGAGCGGCTCTGGAGCCCAGCGTGCTCGGGGACGGCTGCAACTCTGGGAATTTTTTTTCTTCGAGCAGGAGCTGAAGCATTTCCTCCTCCAGCCGCAGCTGATGCTTGCAGAGCGGGTTTTGCAATCCCATAGGTTTCTGTTCTCGGGGCGGGGAGGTGCCTCTCGCCACCTTGCAGCTCGCTGTTTGTTTGCTCGTATTTTTTTTGCATCTGTCAGTGTTCCGCTGCCAGCCCCGACAGGTCCCAGCGACAGGGTGGTTTTTTGGCAGCGCTAACAGCTCCGTCCATGCGCAGCCCTTCGCGTGGTGCTGCCCGCTCGGCGCCAGCGAGGTAGGAGGCTGGTGGCCGCCTGCCAAGGGGTATGTCCTGCGGCCGGCTTTTTTTTCCCCGTGCATTGCCAGGCGGGGACAGATACACGCCAGGGTTTGGTGGTGGGGCTGGCAGAGGCCCGTGGCCCCCGGGGGTGACCCGTGTGCTTGCCCCCCGCAGCGGCGC